ACCAGTGCTGTTAAAAAAATGTTAAAATTTCAAAAATACATGACGATAGTAAACTCGTATATTCTGCTCGTAACAATGAAAAACAAACGAATACGTAAGAGTGTACAATATATATGAATTGTTGCAAATATATGTAAAATATACATACACTTGATACACGAATTTTTTTAAAACGGAATTTAATTTAACATGAGTTATAAAGAAAAAAATTATATCCTTACAATTCTATTCATTTTGTTACACCCACAATCCGGTTGGATTATGTCAATTACATGCGTATATGATTGGGATTCCGCAAATTATGCATAGAGTAAGGACGTAACGCATTTCATACTCAATTTAGTTTGGTTTTTCATAGTAAAATTTATTTTTTATAATACATTTGATGAATTAAAATGTGTAAGCACGAAGTAAATACTTAAGTGAATTCTAACAAGAGTGTCTTTAATATTGTTTATTGTACTTTTCACTTGTTTCAGGTTTTAGGTCCGTGATCAATCTATTATTTTTCCATTCAGCCAATATCTTCTGTATCTATAGTATAAAGGGAGAATCGGGTATATATATGCTTGTATATATGCCAAGTCATAGATTAGTTAAGTTAAGCAGACTATATAGATTCATTGATTTATTCATTTATTAAGCAAATCTTAAGGGAAACACTGAAACTAACTTTTATAAAGTAAAAATAAAAAAGCAATAAAGATCAAATTCATGTATAAATTAATAATAAAAAAAAAAAAACCATGCACACTTATAGCATAGCGGCGCACTCGTAGTCAGTGTAGATCTAAACTGGGGGAAGGAATCGCTAAATCGATGCAAATATGCAAAAGCTAGGCGACCAAAATTGCCGAACATAATTAATTTAATTACGAAGTATGCAAAGTGTTTTAAGATTAGAAATTAATTTAACATTGTGATCAAAAAAAAAAAAAAAAAAAAAAACCAATATCCAAACTAAATTGTGCGGCTATATCGAATATCAGAAATTTATTCTTTTCCTATCTAAATTGGTAGCATTTTGACAGACATCTGTGTAAAATTTCGCATCATAAATGTCATCAGTGTTTCAGTTACGTTTTGTTTTGCATCGCACAAAAAGTATTTTTTCCGATTTCGAGAATGTGTGATATTGTTAAACAAAAAAGTTGCATTCAATTTTATTTGTGATATGAGATGAGATGAGACACTTGACGCATACGACCACCCATAAGCAAGTAATCAATGAAGTGTATATCGTACGATAGGTTAGGCGAAGATCTAAAAAATCACGCGAAAGTCGCTTACGAATCAAGGTGACAAGTTAGTAGTTTTCTTCGATTATCGCGGTGCTATGCGATATGAATTCCTTCCGGCGGGTCAAACTGTTAATAAGAAATATTATTCTTGTTTAAGGATTATTTTGAAGACAAAGAAATAGATTTGGAATAATAATAAGTGCATTTGAGTATAAAAAAAAATTAAATTGCTCTTACCTTTTGACACAATAGTCAAGCCGTCGTAGGATCCGATATTAAGATAAAATTATAGATATCATTTACATTTTTGCAGAATACCTTGAACGAGCTCTTAATTATGCCTACATTGACTAAGTTTTATGAAAATAAAATTTATGGAAGCGGTGTTAGGAACATTCAAGTGTATCTTTTTTAATAAGGTAGGGGAGTCAATTTAGCACCTAAAATACACGTACGCCTCTTCAGTAAAGCTAAGACTAACAATAGCAATCTATTTGCATCATGAAAGTGTTTGTTAGTTTTATAGCCATTTGTTGAGATAGTTTACAAGCGAAATATATTAAAACATGATAAAAATGAGAGAATAGCAAGAATAGCTAAACTGATGGAAGGCAGATAGATGATCGTGAAAATATTTTAAATTACCTTTAGGACAAGATATATGGAAGCGATAATGATTATTCCATTGAGCACTCATTTCATAAATATTCGAATCCCTTTCCATGATACCAAGCAATTTCACGAATTGAAAATCAAACAAAGGATATTTTTAGTATCTTCATTGTTAGCGATAATACTGCTAGCTACTGCTAGCGGATAAGATGATTTTCTAACAAATTACATTTAAAAGTTTCTATAAACCTTTTTTTCACAATTCATTTCACAATTCTTTAGTAAAACAAGCCACAGCCAAAATTCGGCTTTTGAAGTCATCATGCTACATATATCACTTGTGGTATAGGGCGCATTAAACTTGTTTAGAAGAAAGACTGCATTCAACATTTGTTCATAATCAACTTCTCTTTGAGATATTTTGACGGAATTGGATGCGTTCTCTAGTGCTCTGGTCCAAAGGCAAACAATTTTTGAATTTGGGTTGAATCGGGGATCATTTAACGACCACCAACCATATGATGTCTTATTTTGTAATTTCTTTAAGCAATAGTGATTCGACATTGAATTGATCAATATTGTAAATTCTCTCCCATATCCTGGGCTTTCTATACAAAAGATTTCGAATTTTTAATAAATTATTATCAAAATTGGCCAATAGTGCGGTAACTTGACATGAAACCTAGTCAAACTTGGACTCCGTAGATACATTGTAGAAAGTAAGTGCGTAATGATGAAATCAAATTAAGCAACATGGTGTAGGTTGGACTATATGCTTCGGAATTGTTATAGTTTTGAGTTAATGCAAATTTATGTAAAATACTAAGCTTTTTGCTTTGGCCTCAATTTGATAGACATCTTCGAAATTACGCATACCCGCTGTATTTTAATGGATCCTTAGTAAGTAGTTCGAGATTGTGCACTGATTGAACACTGATAACTACATATCGACATTCCGTTTGAAACTGCAAAGAGTCTAATTGTCAGTATACAGCGTAGAAAGCAATCAAGAACTTCACCTTAAGTCAAAATATTAGAAAGATAAATTGCCTTGTAATCAATCACCTGCATGCAGAGAATAGATCTGAGTAGTTCAGGCGATTCGGTCTGCAGATCTTCCCTCTTTAGACAAGCTCATACGTAGAGCCTTGCTCAATGCGCTTGAAAGCGGGAATTGTTGACGTACAAAAAAAAAAAAAAAAAGAAGAAAAAACAATAAATCTATCTATGGCTTACTTGGTACCCTACTATTGGCGATGATTATATCCAAAAACTTGTAAATTATTATCTAAAGTGAAAGACGTAATACACTCCTGGCCGTGTATATTAAACATGAGGAAATTACTTGCCTGATAATTTGAAGTCGATTTTTTTTCTTTTTTTTTTTCGTAATTAGATGATAAAAATCTCTTGAACTTAAAGCTATTTTTAGCCGGCGCACAAAACATATTTAACTCTTATATTCTTGCATTTTACCTTCTATTACATTTAACATCTTCTGAACGAAGATATATATCAAATATATATATATATACATGTGTGTGTGTGTGTGTGTTTGTGTATATATTATGTTTTATATTCCTAAGAAAACTAGTTTTGAATTTATAACATGTTATCAAGTATGAGCTTTAAGCACGAAAGAGAACTGAATTGAAGCAGATATTATTATGCTCTAGCTGTTGGATGCATGCTATCAGTGCATGTATGAATGTGTTGTTGTATTTTTCGTGGTAGACAGACGGTAGACTTGAGCATGTAGTTGTAAGTTAGATTTATTAGAAGCATTTGTTTTTTATGTCCGTCCTCAGATAGAAGCTTTAAAAAAAAAAAAGTGAGAGTGTAATGCAATAAAATGAAGTAAAGTTCAGTGTGACTTTAGGCTTAAACGCAAGTGATTTTAGTCGCTTTGCCTTTGTAACAGAAGTTTATTTCAAAAAAACAAAAAAACAAAAAAACAAAAAAACAAAATCATGAATTCCTATATCATAATCGCTGTCATATTAACCATTTCCATTGTTGTAAACGCTACAGAAAACGGAAATGTTAAGACTGAACAGAACTTATCTAATGGACAGCAGCGTAATTAAAATATGATTTTGTTTATATATTTTTCAATTACACTTATCAACATTAATTATTATGATTTTTAGCTCTTAGCGGCAATGTAGCTGTCGATGAAGTTGTTGTTCAATCATCTTTGTATATTAAACCTAAACCTCGTTTACAGTTTCGAAGAACTCGTCGCAGCAATGTATTGGAAAAGTCAATTAATTACATTTCCTTACTCGAGCATAAACGTACGAAACGTGGAATGAACAATCATTGAAAAATCATTAGCAACTAATGCGAAAGCGTTTTTATGCTTTAAATTGAAATATGTATAAGAAATAATCTTAAGCTTTAATAATTTCTGCCTGTGAATATATAAATATTTGTGTGATTATGTACACAAAAAAAAAAAATATATAAGGAATCTGTTCAGTAAATTTATGATAAGAAAAATTTTGATAGATAGTCGCCGTTCGAGGACATAAGAAATAAATAATGGATTCAAGTGATCAATCCTAAGAGACAAATGAATTTTGGATTTGAAAATACTCTTATATTGCACATGAAGAGCAATAATAATTAATATCGAAAGTCATGAGCAGCGCAATTTGACGATATCCGGCCAGCAACTATTAGGTACATATAAAAATCGAATAGTTGGTAAGCCATTCTACGGGAATGCAATACTTTTGTTACTATATGAGTTCATGTATTCATGTGTTGTTGTGTGCAGGATAACCTTACAGATATCATCACTGAGGATAAAAAATTTGCTTAAACATGATTTCAAATTAAAAAACGTTTTGCAATAAATGTAACGAACGCTGCTTGTTTGGATAAGTCTTAGTAATTTGTCTTTTAGAAAACTCGACTGGTTTTTAGATAATTTATATACCTTTGGTAATATTTCGAAGCAAGAGTTTGCAAAAAAAAAAAACTTTGCAATTTCTTAAAACATAAGGCAAGAGTGCATTCCAAAGTCAATATTCAGAAAATTAGATTGAGATAAAGAGATCCCTAATGTGTATTATGTGAGATACACATTTTACAAGTTAAATAAACGCCTAATCATAGTCCTAAAGGCAGATTGTACACATGAATCTAAATGTTACGAGAATGCTTTGGAAGCCGGATGAAAGCGAGAACGTAACTGAGAAGGAGGAAACAGCCTAAACGTTCGGTTAACTAAACTTTTTGTCTTTTGTTCTTTAATTCGCGATTTCAGCCAATATATAGAATATGAAATTTGAATAGCATCATACGAATAAAACAAAACCGGATCGGGGAAAAAAAGAGACGGACAAATTCTCAAAAATTTGGCATTGCTAGCATTACGTTGAGTTGAGTTGAATCGTCGCCTTAATTAATACGTTGTGTTTCTATCAAACACAAACAAAATGCCACAATGGACGTTCATCATGACACTTGTCATGACTTTGATAACATCACGAACTTGCTTTGATAACTTTCAATTTAACATTACTTTGCCCAGATAATAAAGGTCAACGTTCTCTCTTCCACGAATTAAGACGAAAACTTGAAAAAGAAAGAAAAAGGAAAAAAGAATTTCATCACTTAGTAAATATGATTTGAATTCTGTTAAAGCATTCTTGGGATTAATTTTCATGATAAAATGAATTGCAAGAAAATTGTCAAATAATTTTATTTTGTTTTTATTGAGAAAAAAAAAAAAAAAAAAATTAAATAAAACTATTTCTTTCCTCTGACGTACGGACTAAGTTTACTACAAGTTTATCTTTGTGTGTTTGCAAGTTCGAAAATAAATTAAAAATAATTTTTTATAATAATATTGAATACCTTAAAACTTAACAGCCTACATATACTTGAAAACAAGCTTTATTTTTTTTTTTTTTGATGTGCAGTTGCTGTCGTTGTTCTTCAGTATGAAGATTTATTACAGAAAATTTAATTAAATGTATCCTCTGCCAGACTGATTTCAATGAATTTAATAATATTCGGTATTTTCACTCTCAGTTAACCATATTCAGTTATTATGCTTTTAATCGATAATTTTTGCAGCACTGCATCGGGAATTATATCAACGATAAATGCATTATAAGTTTACAAAGGTCGTAACAAAGGGATAAGCACCTCTTTCCTTTTTTTTTTTTTACTTTTTTTTTCAAATTATTTGCAATAAACTATTGAAAAATAATGCATTAAAAAAAATATATATATTTTTTTCTAAATTATTGAATTCTTCAATAAAAGTGCATACACAAAACTTTAGATTGACCTTTGCGCGGATGTAGACTTTTCTAGAATGTTCTCTCAAACGAAATGCAAACCTTCCAATTATATATATCACATCCATGCATTAACTTGCATAACTCGCAAATCCCAAATAATGGAATTATGTGCGTTTTATAGTTAAGTTGTTAAGTTTGTGTTTCTAATTTTAAACAAATAAAATTTATAAATAATTTTATAATTCAGTTTCTCTTTCTATTACACAGTTTAGTTCAGAAATGTATATATATAAAAAAAAAAAAAATTATTAATAAATTCTTGACATAACTTATCGGTATGTAAATAGTACGAAAATTAAACTAGAAACAAGAAGTAACTTCACGAATTGAAATCATACGAAGAAAAATTATTAAAGGAGCAAAGATAAAAGTCTTATATAAAGTAGAAAAAGTTTGTGTCGTTTCTGTCCTAGTAGTTTGTAGTATAGAAAGGAGAGAGAAGAAGGTAGAGAGAGGAAAAAAAAAAAAAAAAAAAAAACATTTAATATATATATATATATAAATATATATCAAAAGAAGTAGCTTGTCTGTATAATTAGAAACTGATGATGATCGTGTAAACATTTTATTACTTATTTCTCTCTCTCTCTCCTGAAGAATTATGTTCATAATGGAAGGGTATTTATAAGTAAGCTAAGTAGAGAGTGTTTTCATTCTGTGTATCAGTTTACAATTCATCTTTTTTGTGTTCCTCAGTTTCCTCTTTTTCTTCAACATCCTCAGCTTGCTCAGTGACTTCGTCTGATCCACTTTGTACGTCTCCGCCGCTCTCCAGGAATTTAACGAAATCATCTAAAGTTCTATCTAAAGTGTAATCAATCACTTTATTGTCACCTTTGCGATACAACTTAATGGTGGGGAATGAGGAGATTTTAGTGTGTTCCAATTCATTTGCAGTAGCATCCATTTTCGCAATTACAATAGAATCATGATCTTTATATTTTTCACCTAATTGATCGTAAATAGGTGCCAATTGTTTGCAGTGGCCACACCAAGGAGCGTAGAATTCCACAAGCACATCTTTCTTAGTATCGTAGACGACTGTATCAAATATCGTAGCTACTAAGACTTTTACGGGATTTTTATCCCAATCATCGGGCAATTCCTGAGATAATAAATGCTGTTTAAGCATTCCCTGCATAAATTTCTGTAGAAAATCTTTTATAACATCGGCAGATAGATCGTTACTTTCTGGTTTATATTTGGCCATATCTTCTTCCAATTTAATAAGACGTACAGTGGGTACTTCCTCTTTCGACATACCGAAAAATTCAAATATGCGAGCATGATCCTCTTCATCCGACGAGATGGTCACAAACAGTATATCTTCGCGGTACTTTCTGGCGAGATCTGTTAAGGGCATAACATGTTTGTCAATATGGCCAGCTTCTTTTGAAACAAAGAAAAGTAAATGTGATTTAATTGAACCACCGAATATCTTCGAGGCCGATTCATGATTAAATTCCACAATTAAAGGTAACGAATGCACTTGAACGAATTTCTTTAAGTTTTCCTCGTCGAATGTGCCATCGAACACTGTTTTCTTTTCATCAAATGGTTTAAACAAAACAACAGAACCGTCTTTAACTTCATGTTTAGCTATAACTTCATCATTACTAGTGATACCAAAGGCAAATCTATCCAAGGCATTTGCAGCAGCAATAAAGGCTTTTGCTTCGTCAGAATCTTGCTGCTTAAAGAAGCCAATCAATGCAATCTAATAAAATTATATAAAATTTGAATGAATGAATGAATGAATGATTTATAATATAGCATCTTATATATATATATATATATGGTTTTGGTAAGAAACAAGTGCAAACCTCGTTATCTTTAAGGAAAGTTTTAGCATCTGCTACATTTGCCAAGTCCTTCGCAGGAGGCCCAGTCTTTTTGTTTACCCAAGCAAAAATATCTTCCGCTTGACGGCCACCATTATATTCGACGGGTATACCATTACGGAAAAATTTTAAAGTGGGATAACCACGCACTTGATATTCTTCGGCTAAAGATCCCTCAACAGTGGCATCAACTTTAGCTAATTTGATCCGGGACTCCTTTTCGGCTAATTGTTGTGCAGCTTTTGCATATTCTGGTGCCAAAGCTTTACAATGACCACACCATGGAGCATCTGAGAGAAAATTTTACAATATCACTTGAAGAGAATTTACATAAATTCGTAGCAATATAATAATAATGAATTATGATTTTTGTAATGAATTCATTCATTTCACCTCAGTAATAATAGATGATGAAAAAGTAGCGCGTACTTCTTATCATCAAAAGCTTAGACACAACTGTTCCCTTCTTCCTTAAACTTGAAAATATAGACATTTTTTTTTTATATAAATTTCTTTTTTAAGAATGTTATCTCACTTATTTTTTTAAAAAATTATACTTTTTCAAGAGGTTAACATCAAATAGATAATTAGTTGACCATTTCTTATAGCAACGATGTTAAAATTAAATTAAAGTAATTAAAGTTAAGGGGCGTCAAACTCGAATTTTCAATTTATTGACAAAGTAACTTCGGATTTGATTTAATTGTGATTGTAGGGAAAGTGTGCTGCGAATGACAGCATATATGAATTCCAAGATTTTCGTGTTTTCGTGGCATTTCTTAATCGAGATTACCCCGATATAAAAATTTTTATTTTTATTTTATATCTCTATTAACTAGAATTTTCAAATAAGCACTTATATATATTAAATTGTTCATTCTGTTGGTAACACCCAAATGTATGCGATAAATCGAGGCTACGTTTCTGCCAACGGATCAGCTCGTCTGACTGAAATTAAAATTTCTACATTGAAAATCTGCGAAGATTACCACCTACCAATCAACTAAGTTCCTATATTATCTTAGGTTATATATCTTCGCTATTAAGCCAAATTATGTATTGTGCTTAAATTCTGTAACTATATATTAGTGGATGGAGTATGACAACATCAAATATGATATGTCAGTTTTCACCCCAAATACGAATAAAATGAATTTGTGTAAATGTATGTGAATACCGGAACATGTGAGAGGTTTGAACATTCAATCCTCAATCTATTAATGAAGTTAATCGATTTTAAAATTCAAATTCAAACATTTTCTTTATACATTTTATGAAAAAAAAAAAAAAAATCTTGATTAATTAATCTTAAGTTTTTTCATAAATGCATCCACCTATCTCACCAGGTCGATTAACATATAGCGTTATAGTGGAAAGATCGCTTTCTTTACCCTAGTTATATTTTAAATATAGCGTTTTAATGGACATGAACACGTGTTTCTATTGTTCAGATTTGAAGAATCATTTTTTTTGGAATATGATGATAAGAGTGATGATATCATTAGGTTAATTATTAATCCGTGTTTGTTGAAAGATATGAGTGGATGTTTTTAACGTCATTTGTAAATCTACGTAAACATTTTACAAAAAATATATAATAAATTAATTAATTATATTCAATATGGATAAAATGCAAAAATTCTCATTTTTTCCCCCAATGAACAAAAAAAAAATATAAGGTCCTAAGCAAACTATAACACATAAAACATATCCGTACGAGATAGATAAATGTTTAAAGTACAAGTACTTGAATGACTGAATTTGTAATCGTAGCGTATTTTATAAATTTCTTCTAAGACTTAAACTATACATAATAAACGTTTTTCCCACCAAAAAATATAATTGTTTGATAAGAGCATAATATTTCATATTATTATAGCATTGTTCTCATTTCAAATGCATTCTAAAAAATGTATTCATTCAAAAAATGAACTAAATTTTCTTTCACTTTGAGCCCAAAGACTATCAACCATTTGGTGTTTTGCACAACTATTATTTCTTAACCATGAAAATTGTTTATAACTACATAAAAACGAAAGCTAAAGATGCATTTTTGATGCGTGTCCGTAGGGAGAGTAGAAATCTTCTTTAATAGTTACCGATTTTACCTTTTCAAGTTTACAGACGAATGCAATCGGATTGACATCGATTACAATATACAATTATTAAATGTTTAGATTATTATGCTCAAGAAATAGAATTACATGGCTATAGCTATGTCTGTGCTCTTCCGTATGTGATGCAAGAAATGTGATTTTTTAAATATAATTGACACGTCAACACAGCAAATATATGTTTAAGAATGAGAGCGGCAAGCGACAAATTTGCTTTGCGTATTCCTGTGTACGATTAAGAAAATGCCGGCAAAAGCAACAAGAGATAAAATAGTCAAGCCAGAAGAAAATAAAGAGAAAAAAAGTAATAAAATCACGAAAATTGATGAATTTAAGAGACTCGAAATGAAGACGCTGGCAAAAGAATATAACATATTGAACACGTAATTTTTTGTAAAATGTTTTACACACAATATTGAGAAAAAATAATCATTTCTCCAGCTTCATTTGATATAAAAAAAAAATTTCTTTTAATACTTACAAAATTCAACCAGAATGTACTCGTTGTCAGCCACGGCCTGTTTAAAGTTTTCTGTCGTCAACACTAGCACGCCATCCTCCACTTTAATGTCTTCCCCGGCTCCGATAGCAAAAATCGTGGCCAGCACAAAAAGTAATGAGCACAATATTAACTTCATATTCTTTTTAGAATGTTTAATATTTATTCGTGCGTAAGAAATTGTATTTTACAATTTTTATTTTTCAATTCGATGGCTTTATTTAAAAACAAAATACACGCCAACGTTGTTCGCAAGTCGAAATATACAAGTAAAATGGAATTTCTCCAAGTCCAGAGAAGACGATATAAAATCAGGAATGTGTATGTTTAGAAAATCTTACATTTTCTTTTTGACAGCACAAGTGACACGTCACCATATAACGACTCTGTCTCTCATGAAAACTAAACAATGCAGGGTTATTAAATAAAAACGGTAAACACACCAATTTAAATGCAAGATGATAAAAAAAAAGAAGCACGATGAATATTTGGTCTTATTATTAGGTGTTTGCAAAAACTTTGATCATTTTTTCACTTGGTAAAGGCATTTGTTGAAAAAAATTGTTACAATATAAAATTAATCAAAATATTTTCCATTATTATCTACAAGATTTTACAATGTTTCTCGTCACATGACGATATCTTGCGGAAAGAACTTATAGTGGTTTGACAGCAATCCATCTATTGACTCATTTTCGTGTTTCCTCAACTTTGAGGTTCCGCGTGCCATCCGAATCGTGCTGCACTGATTTGAACAAGTGGTAATCAGGAACCACCATATCGGGTGAGTATGCTGGATGTGGCAGAACTTCCCATTCGAGCTGCAACAGTGTATTCTGAATAACTCTTGCAACAGGTGGGCAAAAAGGGTAATTTTTAGTCAATTCGTGTCGCCACTTTTAAACCGTTGAAACCGAAAACGGCAATTGGGATATGATGGCGCATCATCAACATAAGCCTCTGAACGTGCTTGGTGAGCGTCGGCAGTAGATTTCTTGAAATCATCAGCAAAAGTATTGGATTTGGAAGAGGAAGAATTTTGAGCGTAAACACTGAATAACTCAATAATAATAAATGGAAAAGTATTATTTTAGGTAAACAAAGGTCAAAATTATCGAATTTAATCGTTACGTACATTGGTATTTCTTATTTCTTTACCATATTTGGCTGTAGAAGTCGCTGATCGAAATTTTTGTAAACACCTAATATTTATAGCAAGCTTGAATATAAAAATTAATATATAACATATTTATGATTGAATTTAATAAACATTTTTTAATTTGAGCGATGCCTAAGTGAAATAAACAGAAGAAAATTGTCATATGAAAGGAAGTGAGAACTTGATAACATTTGATGCTCTATGAAATTTGATTGGAAGATATAAAGAAGATTCATGTGCTTAACATGCATCGTACAATTATCATATCGCATATGTCATTACCAAGCGATTGCGAAAATAATTCCTTTTTCCGGGGAAGAATTTTGGGATAAGCCGAGCCGATAGTGATGGTTTTCGAATGCTCAAAAATTTGAGATGAATTGTCTTCTTTCAAACAAAATAATGAGTGTACAATTGTAATTTGAAAAGGCGGGTAGATGAATATTTTAAAATTGATTCTACCAATAAACGATATATATAATCTCTCTATATAAAAAGAAAATAATTTCCTTTCGTTTCTTATATGTGTATATTTTTTGTATATGTATTTATAGCGGTTTTACTTTTTAATTATCAAAATATCATTAAAACAGTGTGTGTTCAAAAGAATAGGCATTGCATATGCGAAAATATGTTAAGCCCTTAGAAAATCAAAATTTGTCCATTTATTTTATTCACTCAACTTTTACTTCTGGATATTTGTCATTAATGAACGCTATCTTATAATGTTATTTATTAGGTACCCTATGATTTCATTGAATGGATTCTCATAAATGATGCGAAAATCTGCACAATAACTACATGCAAATGTAGTAAAATTTTAAAATTTCGCTTGACTTCGAACATATGAGCAATTTTCATTGTATCTTAATATGTTTAACGCAAAAAACCTATTGATCGGATTAGTACTTTTAAAAATCAATTTCTATTGATGTAATTACTTTTTTTTTACTGCCATAATTCTTTTTCGTTTAGCAGTATATTTTTGTAATGCAATTTTCATTGTATCTTAACATGTTTAACGTAAAAAACCTATTGATCGGATTAGTACTTTTAAAAATCAATTTCTATTGACGCAATTACTTTTTTTTTACTGCCATAATTCTTTTTCGTTTAGCAGTATATTTTTGTAATGCAACCATGTGGATTTTCTACAAAGCAAATCTCTTAAGGCAATTTTCAGTTTATGTTTTTATAATTGTTAAGATAAGATATAGAAGTTATATCTCAAGTGCGGTAGAGTTTTTAATAAAGCCGAAAACCTTAGATGCAAGTGCTTTAAGATTTAAGGCTTACAATTTATTCTCCGGATAAAGTTATAATAATAATAATAATAATAATAGTAATAATAATAATAATATATATATCTAAATTTGAACATAAGTTACACTTAGTATGTCTTCATCGAAGAATTTAATAATTGTTACTGGTTTTGGACCGTTTAAAGGTCATGAAGAGATTAATGCTAGCTGGCAAGCGGTATGATGAATTTACCATTTGTCATATTTGAATCATATTTATACATTTCAATAATCATGTGATAGGTACGTTTATTACCTGACGAGTTAGTTCACAATGGTGTTTATTACCAAATCGAAAAATTGGAAATATCGGTGGAATATAAAAGTGTAGATAAAGCTATTGAAGAAATTTGGTCGAAATCTCCGTCTTTCGTTTTACATTGCGGCGTTAATGGAGGCGCAACGTGTGTTAATGTGGAAAAACTTGCCTATAATAATAAATTTAATAAAGCCGATGGCAAAGGTCTTTATTTGAGCTCCGCAACGGCTTGCCTTAAAAATTGTGATATCAACACTACAACAATATGCTGTAAATTGGATGTTGATAAAATTGTTAATGATATAGCACAAACATGCAGTTGTTATCCAACATTGAATAATAGGATTGCTGAAATATCTACAGATGTTGGCAACTATTTATGTGGTTACATTTATTTAAAATCTTTGGATTACGATTGTTCACGCTCGCTATTTGTGCATGTCCCACCAGTCGATAAACCGTTCAGTTCAGAGAAAACCGCGGAAATATTGCTGAAAGTTATTGAACAATGTCTCTATCAGTTAACTGAATTTGATAAGAATGATGAAGAGGAACTGGCCAGTCAAATAAATCATTGATAGAATATCTTATTGAATTGGAAATATTTTAATAAAATATGTCAAAAATATTTTTTGGATATGTCAATAATTACACATGCATATGTACACTAATTAAATTAATCCATTGTAAGCGAAACGAGTAGTGCGATTATTGTAATAAAAATTTTACGTATATAAAAAAATGTACTAACTATAATAATATTTCTACATTTTTTCTTTATTTCCAAATTACGTCAATTTACAGTAGTTATGAGCATGTTTGTAAGTAGCTTATATCAGTTTTTCTGCGATTTGGAGCAATTTCAGCAATATCAAGTAATTCAATGGTGGATGTTTACAGGCATGGTACAATAAGACATTATTAAGTCGGTTTATTTTGATCATCGAAGCTTATCGGGGAATATTTAGAGCAAAGAAGAAGAATTCTATCTAATCATAAGAATATTCTATCTAATGCGTGTTTGACTTATTGCAGATTTAGAAAATTAAACGCATTTCTTTAAAATCCGTGATAAAAAGTTTTTATTTTTAGGTCAAAGGGAGATGAATATTACATGTAAACGAAGTAGAACTGGATTTGCCATGTATTGCATTTCGTGTCACTTTTTCGACCATATTTACTTAGTGATAATAGTAGCACACTAACCGAGAAGCAAAAGGATCGATTGTGGGGACATTTCGGCTTACTATTAGATAACGACGCAAGCCTTTAGTAGCACTCCAAACAATATGTGCCCTCAAAAAATTTCACCTTACAGACAGTTTCGGTTTACCTATGGACATTGATTTAGATCGATCCAGAAAATTATTCTAATTCCACGTCTCTCTTCAAAATGTCTTGTCAGACTGATAATCACGTAGACTGGTTGACAAGATCTCTTCTAGATAAATCGAGATAAGAAGACTAAAATTGCATTATATACTGCGTTTTCTATCTAGAAATTAGTTGATTTTTCTTCTTTATATTATATTAATATATATTATGATTTTTTGTAGTTCCTTTATACCGTACATTACTTGTGGTACAAGGTATAATGTTAGAAGGGTTTGAGGTAGACCTAGTTTTTGTCATATCGATCGAACCCGAATCATTTCCTGGATTGATCTTAGCTTGATTGCTATAGTCGCTGACAATAGTATATTCAAAAAAAAAGTCATATTGACAGGAGCTTGTATATCCGCCACCATAAAACTTATGATTTTACACTGTCCTCAAAAACTGCTGATTCTTGCTATTAATAAAAGTATTTAATTTTACAAGTTAGCCTAAAATTAGACCGTCATAATTTTTAAACAAAGCCCTCGCTAAATTCCCTGTTAAAAGGCAAGGCACAAAGTTGCTTGTAATAATTAAAAAAAATAGTAAAAAAATGGCAGCATGTTTAAATGGTAACGCCATTCCACCTCTGTTAAAATGCAAAGCTGTCGGCAAAACAAAGAGACACATCTGTGAAATTGTAAAGTTTTTGCTTGGGCTTAGGTGCGTGTCTTGGATAAAGCAAAAATTCATATTATTTTAATACTAAATATTACCGCAATGAGCACATTTATCGTCTGAAAACTTAACTACTAGCACTGTGAGGGCATGGATAAAAAAAAAAAAACAAACGGGGAAAACAAAGGCATATTTTCGCAATTATTATTAAGCAGCTGTTAAAGAAAATTTCTAAATATTTGCGAGAATATTGTGCAAAAATACTTAGTATTTTCGTCAAATAAAAGCATTTTGTGTTAATTTTGTTACTTTTTTAATACGGACAAAATTTTTCTTTCGGCGGTGAGATATACTTTCGGCGGTGAGATTTACTTTCGGCGGTGTCATTTACTTTCGGCGGTGAGATTTACTTTCATGCCAGAAACGCTCAATACATAATAGATACTTGATTTTGAAATTTACCTTGTCATAGAAAAGTAATGAGCGACAAAAGTAATTACGAGTAATTACTTTATTTGGTGAATGATGTTAAACGAAATGTTTCGCTACTTATGCTATCATTTATTCACGTATTGCACATTTTCGTACTGAAACAAAAAAACCGTGTTTGGGTTCATAGCAAATATGGATTAAAATAGAGGAAAATTTCCCTTAATGTAGATGGCTTAACTGATTTTGTAATTTATTATATTATTTTAAGCAAGGCCAAGTGCGAGCAGTGTCTTCTTAGTGATTGTCTCTGCTAATAGCAATTGTAAGATACATTTTAAGATATTTTAAGATGGTAACAATTTAAAAATGAGAATAATCTTGACATTTTTTTTTTATATGAAAAGAATGGCAACGGCATAATAATAATTTTCGAGGGTAATAGCAAAAAATTTGAAAAATATTACAAAATGGCTGCACTGAAGCCATTTTCACGACAAACTTGCTCTAATTGACGTTTTAAACGAGCATTAACATAAATCAAATTTATCAAAATTAGTTTTCTTTTTGAAAATGTTATTATATTACTTCTATTTTGGCAGAATTTGCTAGAAGTAAGACAGTTGTCATCAAAAGGATTACATCTCATGAGACTCCTGTAGTTGAAGTGTAAACCAAAAAATATACTCACTTGATCCAAACTAGGTACGGTTGATTTCTTTCTCAAATTAGCATTAAAGAATAATTGCCGTCATAAAACATCAAAATTCAGATCTTTCGGTCTTTTAAGGACTTACTGTTGAGAACTGTCAGGCAACTGAATCGTTCGTTTTAAATTTTTCACATCAATTTATTATGTTGAAGTTGCGGAAATTTTTTTCCATATAACAACGTTTTTCCAAATAAAACTTTGTATGAATATAAAATGGTCGCAAAAGTGGTCCGAAGATTACCAATCCATTTTCCTTAGTGTTTGTTCTTGAACTAAATCGCAGCATTGTATTAAAAGTTGCGTCATAACGTCTCGAAAATCGCGACTTGCAAGTGGAAATATATGCATAAATATTAACTAAAAAAAACGGACGGACATGCTCAAAACGTTAACTTAATACATTCTATAAGACAAAAAGTGCAAGTGTAATAAAAATTCACTTAATGTATATAACTGTAGCTAGTGAATCATATAAGGTATTTTAAAAGCAAAAGTAAAAACACTACAATGGAAACGGACTACCGTTAAAAATGACAATAGTTTACCATTGCATCACTGGTCGGGAAAATGGTCCGATCCGAACCAATAGCGTTCAATAGCGTTCGTCCTAGCAAATTTCATCAAATTATATCTCAAAAGTTGAACACAAGAAAATAAGACAACTAGACGGACAGATGGGCAGAAAAGCTTAGATCGATTCAAAAAAAAACTATTCCAAGCCGGTTGCTATAATAATAGTTGCGTCTATGTCAAGTCCTTCTGTTTGTTGCATGAGGCTGCATAAATTTAATATACCCGTGAATCACACAAGTGATGTAAGATATAAACATTGCTTTTTTCTGTGATTAGCAATTATTTGAATGAAAAAGTTTTCCGATATTGCATGTTTCATGCCCACAATTATTTTTTTGTTCATCATTATTGACTATTTAGGGGATCATTGGATAGCAAAAAAAATGCACATTTTCCGAAAAATCTAGAATAATGTTACCCTTACTAAAACAATAATATATATATAAAGAAAAAAAAAAAAAACTCCATTTTAATAAAATAATAAAAAAAAAAAAAAAAATGTCTTGAGAAGAACTTTTTCTTAAGAAAACCAAAAAACAAGGATTAAACATTTTGATAAAATATGCTTTCACAAAATTCTTCAAATTCCTTGTCATTGCGAATAAAATACACGAGAATAAAATTATATTTATCACATATCGTATCCTTTAGTACTCACTCCATCATTGGTTTGTTGCAAATGTGTTATTAAAAATAAGCAGAAGCTTCTTATTGCATACAACTAAAGCGTTCCTGTGTAACAGGTATAGGCAACCATCGGCCCGTTATATTTAAAATTTCAAATGATGCGATTTACTCGCATATAACAATGCTTGCTGCAAATGGATTGCATTTGCGTTCATTACCGATCCATTTGTACTGTACAGCTGTCAAGTTTAAAATGTGTTCTCTTTTTTTGTTTTTGCCATCATTACGTCATAATAGTTGCGCCGTCTTCTGGTCCTCTCCGCGATATGAAGATTACAATTTTACGCTTCGATGAAAACAATTGTCTACCCCTTGCTCTGCAGGAGTAAGCTTTCGCATGAGTATATCTATTGTGGATAACTTAGGCAAGTACAAGTGTGAACTAACGTAAGCAGAGAGAGAGAGAAGGATAGATATATGCAATATGTAATAAGGGAATGAAAACATAATTTGCATAAACAAAATCAAGGGATAAAATTTTAAATTCAAAATTGCTGCCAATTGTTTTAATAATTAGGTTGACTTTGCTAATTTCTCGATTCATTTTGTGTGTAAAGTAAATCTGGCGAACATGGAAAATTTATTTACTTAGCGATATACATATATACATACCATTTAATTTATCGGTGCTTGCGCTGAAAATAAATCGTTGTTCGGTTTTATTTTTTTTTTTTGAGTTTTGAACTCGCGACCAAGGTCATAGGCAAGCTAAACCAAATGCCTACGCAATATTCATCACAAGTCAATTACAGAAATATCGAGTTAGTAAGAAGAATCCTTAATCGATAACTTCCAGTTAATCATTTAGACTTTTTCTCCTCTACGTGGCTGCAATATTATTATTTCATTGATTCGTTCTCGATAGTTGACTGCAATAATATTATAAAAGCAAGTATACATTTGATTGATTTGAGTTCCTTCGATTGAATGTTCAATTGTTGTTGTTTGCCTTCCGAAAGACCATAGATGCCATAAAAAAATCGAATATTTTGCAAGCACACGTTCAAATGCTTATTATCTCATCTATCTTAAGCTTGCGTGGTGGTAATCTTTGATAAGTTGATGCGAGTAAAAGAAATCAGAAAATAGATTATGATATATACCCCTTTCTAAAATGTCTCGACTCAGCAGGTGAGAAAATGCTTTCGATGAATTGAATATTGGAGAAGAGATGGTGGACCACGTGCGCAATTATTACAAGTAAAAAATATTCAAAATAGTTTTGCCGATCATTAAGGGCGTGTGTAAGGGAAGGAAATGAATGCAAAATTTTTCTGGTTTAATTGAATACAAAATTATTTTCATTTAAAATGGACAAATAAACAAAAACAAC